TACCATCGACGACACAAAAGAAGATCGCCATCTTGCCACGACTCCTCCAAGAGGGGCTCATTCCCACACCGACCAACAGTGATTCAGAGTAGTACTCGAGAGATTACTGAACACCCTTCAAAAAGTGAGTGACACCCTGGTTGTGGGCAAACAACTTGTAGGTGGTATCGGCAAAGGTGTTAGTACGATAACAACCACTACCAGCCAAGCCTCGGTTCACCAAAAACCACCTATCCTGCCAATTCTTGGGTGTTCGTCCATCAGGAAACAGGGTGTACCCCCTCACCGAACCAAAAATGTACACTTATTGCCTGTACAACAATACGTGAAGAAGTATTTGAACACAAAGTATTCTGGGAGGTAGCTGTTGGCACGACAAATCATTTTGAATGCTACCACCTTATTCACGGAATTCAGAGTAAACATGTAAATGCTGCAACCATATTTTTGGAGAACCTCCTCTTGTCGGTTAGGGGAAGACGAAGTCCGACATCTAGGGTTTTCAGATAAACCTGAAATTTTCAAGCTGGGAGACATGATAGAGGAACCAGGCGATGGGAACTCCACACCGTCCGATGCTGAGAGGCCCTATGTGCGACCAAGGAATTGGTACTCGACTTTAGTACAATGAATTCCTGGGGGACTAGCCACTGAAGAAAAGTGAAAAAGGAAAGCCTTGAGAAGAAGAATAACAAAGGAGAGGAAACGTGAAATGGAAAAGCAACAAACACCCCTATAAGAGGATAGAAAATGCAGGATATTCAAAATGCATGAAAGGGTGATGAAACCACTAGCCATGATGAGCAGTTACGTCATCATTAAAAGCGAATGGTGGGCAAACAAGGAGTTGACACGTTTAGAGAAATTCAATCCAGAACGTAGTAAGTAGCATTGCATGGTTACGACCACCGGACTGGGGGACTTGATAACGTGCCTAAATTGGCATAGAAGAGTTGTATCTGGCCAAGAAGCCTGACGCACCCAGCAAGACAGGCTTGGTGGGCTAAGCGCCGGCCTGCACCCTTAAAGAGCAGGGCGCCCGAGAAAAAGGCTCGCGCCTGCAAGGGACGCTCCCAATACCAAGACAACGAATATGGTCAGGCGACAAGGAAAATGATCAGGGCATTACCGTTGGAGCCAATTGCAGTGCTCTGATAAAAGAGCCGCACAATCCTCCAACCAGCGCCTCTGGCCTTGTTCTCCCAAAGCAATCATGTCTCGTATTGACGAACAGGGTCGCTAGGTATAAAGGGCTATGCACACGATCTCGACAGGTAAGCAGTTATCTCCGAGGAATATACACAAATAAACATTTAAACCTTAGCTGAGTTAACCGTCAGAGTGTATTTCCGGGAGCCTACTCCCAGAAAACGAATGACGACCTGTCTTTCTTGTGATATTGTAGGAGAAATTCGGATCCCATTAGTGGAGCTAGAGAAAGAATCGGAGGAAGGTCACGTCACCTGCGAAGGAGGGCTTTATCTTCCTATCCTTGATGTCCGGTAAGTATTTTGGGCATATTCGTTTCCAATGCCCCCTTCTCGTGATAGAAGAAGCATGTTGCTTCTTTAGGATCGAATGAGGGAGTTGCAGAACCAACTTTACCTTTGGATCCGTTTGAAGAAGATCCATCCTGGGACTTTCCGTTGTAGCTCTGAGAGGGAGCTTTCCTCTTTTTCCCTTTTCTAAGTCCTATAGCAAGGACTAGAGCAACAGTAGTAGAGGTGGACTCAATAGCTTTTCCTCTAAGTTCTCTTTCAACAGTTCTTAACAAACCTTGAAGTTTGCTCAAAGTGACTTCCTCCATGTCCATATGATAAGTCATCTTGAATTGATTAAAACAAGGAGGTAAAGAGTGTAGGATTATATCAATCGCCAACTCTTTGTCAAAGATGACATTCAACTTAAGAAAATGATCCACATACCTTTGCATCCTTTGCAATTGGCTCGTGATGGACTCTCCATCCTTCGTCTTGGTTGTTATTAGCGAGGCGAAAATCTAATGCCTTTCTTGCTGTGCACTTTGATGGTACTTTTCAATCAAATCTTGGCACATGTCGTAAGGCCACTAGTCATCATAGAATTGCTACAGCTTAGGAGTCATAGTGGCTACCATAATACACGACACCTTTGTCGTGTCCTTTTAATGAGCCCTATACTCAGCTATTTGTTCAACAATAGCTTTGGTTTCATATATCTCTTTGAGTTCTTTGTCGAGGACGTATTCTATCTCCTCGTATCGCATGTCGATTCAAATGTTGCGACTCCAATCATTGAAATCGGAGCCATGGAAGGTGATCCTTGCATAAATATTCATAAGAGAAAAGAAGCTTGAGGAGTTGAAGTTCGAGCCATAAGCGTTGTTTGAGCCAGACATCTGAAAAAGAAAAGGAACAAAGTTTTGATTAGACAAAGAATCCTTAATATAACACCCAAATGAAAGACCCAACACAATAATTCACAATTCGGAAGAGGGATGTTGTAATCCAATTGCAAATTATTTGAAGGTAGGTAAATGACGATTTACCAATTCTAGTATGAAAAACGAAATGAAGAATTAGGTTTTAAATGAAATGAAATTCCTAGATTCTTTTTTAGATTAATTGAACTTTTCAATAACATGTTTAATCTCGATTATGCCCTTCAAGTTTTTGACTGGGATACCAAGGGTCACAAACAAGGTTTGAATAACCATGCTACTTAGTTTGGCACTCTCGATGTCATTTACCACCTAATCTGATGGGTTTTGTATACTACAACATCCTATGATGCACATACAATCCTAAATACCTTTTATCTATGTTTTCACTAATTATACATACAAATGATTTACAAGGCATTCAACATATAACTAGCATGCATTTTCATATAAACCATATAAGATAATAGTTAAGGTAATATACATGTAGCTTGAAGTCTTGATGTATTTGGCCTTAAGAGCTTATCCCCAATAGTGTGGAAGCCTCAAACAAAGTCACAACACATCATGGACAAAGGTCAACATTTGAGAGAGAATTCCATGCACCAAAACACCACCATTTTCTCTCTATGAAAAGAATCACATGTTTCTGGTCATTAAGAAACATATTTATATGGTGGATTCCAAGGGTCATCGGTTTAACCCAAAACCACACCCATGGGTTTTATGATGCTTGGTTCATGTGGCCGAACTCTTTATGTATCCATACATAAACTTGGTCCAACATGGATCATAAGCCCAACACATATAAATATAATTAATTACCATAATTAGTCCCTTTAGATTTAATTAGTCTCTTTTGATCACTAAATTAATTCCAAATTAATTCTTGAGCAATACTAATTAAAACATATGATTTCATATTAATATATTATAACTTATAATATATTAATTAATCATAAATAACCTCTTCTCTCAAAAGTCAATCCTAACAAATTGTCCTAATGATATGCAACCCAAATGAACCATACTACTCCCGGGTCGAGTACATACCAATAATAGTTATGGGCTTAGACATCTAATACAACAGTCTGTCACTTGGATAAGTCTAAAACTCTTATTGCAAATATGACTCCAAGATCCCAACTAGCAATCGTAGCTCTTAATAGTCGTTGTCGAACTCTGACCTAGTCAATGACATGTTTATTAGACAAGGGATCATATATTCCTCCATTTTAGATACCATATGGACTGAGACATGGATTATAATCATTCTCTCTATCCATTTATTGTTTCTGGATTTTCGATTTATGATGACCGACTAATTGAACAAATTGAAATCAGTCTAGGCCTGCCCGACCACTTACGTTTGTCATCACTAAATCATCGAGGGGTCCACAGTTATTTCTTTTATCCCTTCAAGGGCAAAAGTAATGGATAAACGTCGACTCATATACTTGTACTAACTACTTGTTGAATCATACACAAAGGCATGTTTTATAACATCAAGTTACTAATGCGTTTTCGTACAATCAATGTATAACCAAATCATAGTGAACAAATCATATCTCTAGGTTTGAAGAATATAAGATATTATCGTCTCATGATCGATAGTGATAAAATCCATGAAGTGATTCTAATGAGCGTGGATTTAATCCAATACTTGAATCTCATTCAGGAGCACTCATGAATGTTGCAGCAACTTTTGCTATGTCTAAACACTTTAGACATCCACAAGCCTAATTCATGATAGTCTTGATTCATACCTACTTTCAAAGTATGATTGACTGTGGAGAGTTTGAATAACCTAGTTATTCAGGAAGTCAAAGCGTGCAAAGTGAAACACAAGAATAATCTAATCCAATATGGTCTCAGAAGTTATGAATATATATATATATATATATATATATATATATATATATATATATATATATATATAAAACACCTTTTATTTATCACCATATTGGCTACACATTACTCATTTTATAATGTTTCGATTTATCAACCTAATACTTGAATAAAAACAACAGTCATGCCATGGTCCAAGCATGCGCACTATGTTTGTCCAAACAATAGTTATGTCATACTCCAAGTATGCACACTATGTTTGTCTATGATCCTTAATTTGTGAAATAGACTAATTAAACATGATTCTAATGATGCTCATTTCACACTCCCAATTCCTTACCATAAATGAAAAAAAAAACCAAATTCTTGTTATTTACTGTAATCTGTTAGATTTTATACTTATATGCAATGATCCTCTTGTCTCAACTTTCATGGAGAACTTCTAAACCACTTATAATTCCAACATTACATCACCAAATGAAGAATTGAAAAGTCTGGGATCTCTCTTCAAGACTGAAAAGACAGATCTCCAAGAGCTTTTGAGTGGTCTTAAATATAAGAATCCTTTCAAGCCACTCTCTCGTCTCAGCTTTCTCAGCTTTAAGACGAACTTGCTAAGGAAAGTACTCTCAAGGATTCTCTCACTCTCATGAAAAAAGAAGCCAAGATGTTAAGTATCAAACTTGAAGTTTTAGAGAAATAGGTGAATGATCTGTTATCTGAGAAGGCAATCATGCAAAGCTATATAATTGATGTTACTGGCTTGCTCTCGAATATCATTAAGACCATGGGCTCCATGATCACCATCACCATGCGTAAGCATCTGGCTAAAACGCTAAATCCAGTCTTTGTCATGCTTCACCGTCTTAAAGGTGTTTTTGATTACCCCTTTAATCTGAAACAAGAGGGTGAAAGTGTGACTGGTGGATCAAGAAAAGAAAATGTGGCTGGTGGATCACGAAAGGAAGAACCAAAAGCTCATGTCAAGCCTATTGTCAAGAAGGAACCGAAAGACAAGGAAACGCTGTTCCATGATGATCCAATTATTGATAATGATAGCGAATAAGAGATCACTAAACAAGAACTAAAAAGGCAAAAAGTCCATGAAGCTGAAATGGATGAACATCAACGAATCATCTGTGAAGCTGAAGAGAAGGAAAGGGCTGAGAAAGAAGCACATGCTACTCTTCAGAGTAAAAAACACTTGTTCCCCAAATAGACTCTGAAATAAATCTAGCGTGATGTTGTCGATCTTCCAAGCCAGTATTGGTTAGAACTAGTAGTTTCATTTGAACTTCTAACACACGAGACTCTCAACTGGATCTGCCTATTACTCCAAAAGCCTTCATATTTTGTTCTTTTATTAATGTGGCGAATTCTCCAATCACAGACAGTGAAGCAGATCATATGTTTTTCCGTTCTATCTAAAGCATATGAAGCCCCAATATGAAACTTGGTCATTGAGCAAAATTACTGGTGTGATAGTTACAGGTCCGATCGAGACTGATAGCTTTCCAAATGCCAACTTTAAAGTAGTGAGAGGTTTAGCCAGCGAATGCTATGAGTTTACTCTTGCAGATCTTCCATGCCTTAACCCAAATGACTGGTTTGCTCTTTACAATATATTGCTGAAGGACAAAAAAGTATGAACCTATCATGTCTCATCTCAAGCTCATGATTCAGTCCTACATTCGGGTGATTGGAGAGACGGATGTTGAAGTTGTTGCGATCCTGCGAAAGAAGCCTTCAACTTTTCTTAAGGAAACTCCTAAGGATTTTGAAAAGTTGAAGCTAGTGAAACTTTACAGTGGAGATTTTTTTGGGTTTTATTCTGCTAGGGAACAAGCTGGAGCAAACTTTCCTAAAGGATGCTTCTGTCTTTCTGATAAGCATCTCTATACCACAACCTTCCTTGAGTTTATTTTAGACTAACTGAGAAAACTCAGAGGCAACAAGAAAGATGATATCAAGTGCTTCTGATATATGATTCTATGGTACATTGATGTTATTCAGGTACTTTATGCTATGATTTTGAAGGTGTATGAATTGCCAAAACGAATCCAAAGCTGAAGGGTTTGGGCCTCAACTGACGAAAAAGGGGAGATTGTTAGGTATAAAATATTGCGTCATTGGGCTGTTTACCTAAGTACATTATGTACATAGTTTGGGCATGTCCAACCTTATTTATTCTTAGGGTTTTAGTATATACATTGCAGGTATGCAATCGTAGTGGTTAACATTTTGATCGATCTTTTCTCTATAATCCTAGCATACCTCTACAGTAACAATTCTTTATAGAGTTCTTCTGAGGTTATGTCTTTTAATGATTTAAAACCTATTAATCCATTCATTTACAGTTGTAATTTTCGCTTCTTGTGAGTTTTGCTTGTGGTTGTAAGGTTCGCGTCTTGGTTGTCTTCGCTTCAAAGAACATAGGGACGAGCAAACGAAACTAACTTTCGCTTCATTACTTTCGCATATTTGGCAATTGCATCTTGAGTTTCGCATATTATTTCTTCGCCATCTCTGTTTCATTAGCTTCATCAATTTACAAGAGCCAAGTTAATCAGTTAACCAAAGTTCCACTAAGAACCTTTTCATTTTAATGAAGTTGCAGTTTGTACCCAAAGCCCGAAAGTGATAACCATTTTGTCTTTAAATGTGAATTTAACCCCCATTCGCATAAAAGCGAATATGACCCTCCTAAATGCTGTGAACTAATGACTTGTGCCCTTTTTGCTGAAATGTGTTAGGTGGAAGCTTACTTTATGCATAAAATGTCACTTTTCACCCTATTTTCAACTTTTCAGTTTTTTTGTCAATTGCAACACTTAAAAAATCAATATATTTGATTTCTTCAACACAATGTCATATCTTTGACTTAAATCTTCATAACATTTCACCATATCTTGTCCCGTAAATTATTAATTTTGTCCCCTAAATTTCTGAAAAGTGACAATTTCAGCCTATTTTTTTAAAAAGCTTACCAATTTGATGGCTGGTGAGCAGTTTTGAATTCTTTAATGCATATATTTTTCCATGAAAAGAAAATATGGATTCCATCAAGTCTTGGTAGTTTAAAAAGTTATTTTTTTGCAATAAAGTCAAATTTTCTCGACTTTTTTGGATTTTATACTTCATCGTTTATATCATTTTGTCGCGGGGGAGCACGGTAATTTTTATCCATTCAAGATCATTCTCATGACAATTTGAAGGCTTTATAATCACGTTTTTTTATTATAAATCGGGGGATAATTTGGTATGGCCATTCAAAATTGGATTTCTGAATTTTCAAATTTGAAGATTTTTGATAAAGCTTGTGGTAGAATTACGAAGGTAGCTTTTATAGTAGCAGTTCTTCATCGAGCACTTCTAAAGCTTTTGTTGAGTAGTATCCTTTACAGTAGCAGTTCTTCAACAAGCTCTTCTAAGGACTTTTTATATCTACGAATTCTAGTATTTTATCGATCAAGTGGCATTACGAATCTTAAAATTTAGGTTATTACATGATAATTTTTGGTGGCTTATATTATTAGCTTATTTGAAGATCATTGTGACTTGGAGGGGGAATTCTTGAAAGACAATAAGTGATTTGATTTCTTTGTTCTGAAATGAGTTTTTATGGTGGGTTTGGCTTTATTGAGATCTTTAGGGTTACATTAGAAAATGAAGTCTAAAGACATTACTTAAGTTCTTGGTTGATATATATATATATATATATATATATATATATATATATATATATATATACACACACACACATTCTAGAACCCGTTTTTGAAGACTATTGAAGAATCAAGATTTTTGGATTGCTTCAAATATTCCTCGTCGCGAGATCATTTCTTATTTGCTAGATGCTTATTGTTATCCAATCCATACTTTGAGGGTGAGATTATAGGGTTTCAATGTACTCCATGGATGATGGCAATGGCCCCTCTTGATGAAGTGTAGGTTAAAAGCCCAAGACTTGTCTTTTCCTTATAAGTAGTCATGTATTATTCATTATTAGGGTTAAGAGTAAGGCAAAATGTAGACGCCACATTGTGAGGTTTCTTGTAGAGTTATATTCTTATTCTTAAAGTGTAATCTGTTCCTCGTAATTGAATAAATCGAGTGATAATTCGACATATCTCCATATTTGTGTTTGTTGTTATTTTCCACATCTTGTTCATCAAATCACAATTAGGGTTTTAATCCTTATATATATATATATATATATATATATATATATATATATATATATATATATATATATAAAATACTTCATATTTAGTTTAAAATGTTATTGACAATTTTCTAGTAGCCTTTACACATGTTAAACATGTATCTGCTTGTCACACTTAATACATAAGATATATTAGGTATATTACACAAGGCATGATATACGGATCCCTTAACCAAGACATATGGAATTCTACTCATCATTTCCCGTTTAAATGTTAAACTAAGACATTATGTTTTAATCATATTTGTAGAGATTGACATATCGCCGATTTACCCATCTGGAACCCTCTCATGACTTCTCGATGTAAGTTGTAACACTTGTTGTCCAATTTGGACTAGTTAGAGATTTAAAGAGGATACATATAAGGATTTTTGGAGAAAGTATTATGCCACGACGTGGTGTATGGAATAGCATAATATGGCATGGCACTTGTGGATGGCGTCTTTTTATGAACACCATGACATGGTGGTTGTTGTAGCCTAAAGACCACGATCTTTAAGGTTTCTCCCCATATTTAAGGCCACTAACTCCAAGATTAGGTCATCATCTTTAGCCTTCATTCCTCATTTGAAAACCTTAGCCCATCCTCTTGTCTTTTGAACTCTTTCATGGTGTTTAGGTAATTTAAAGGTTGAAGGAAGGATATGTTGAGCTAAGGATCAAGCCACAAGATTATCTCTATTTCTTGGTGTATCTTTTGGACTCTTGTAAGCCTCTAACTTGTTACTTTTTTGTTCATATATTGTAGATCTAGGTTTTGATCAATTTCTTTGATGATTTGTTGTTATGAATGGATGGTTTTGATAAAGTTGGTAACTTTATTACTCCTTGGTGTCCTTTGGTTATCATATGGTTTAGATCTAGTCTCTCATGTAGATTTTTGCCATGCTTGGAGCTTTGACTCCATTTCTTACCCATTTTTGACTTAGTGCTGAGAAAGACATGCATTGTAGATGCATGTACATAAGGTAAGGATTTTTATGGTTCATTTGAGAGTAAGGAGGCCTTCTAGAAAGTTGGAGCAAAGGACTTAGCGGGTTAACTCCTTAATGATAAAAATGGATTCTCGCAGTAACCACGATGTAACCAAGAGGTCAGCATGTCGTGGTGGAGATTCAGCCTTGTGACTATTTTGTTTAGACATCCCCATGTGGTAGCCAAGAGGTCACCACATCATGGTGGCTGTTGGGTGGTTGACCGTTGACCATTGACTTTTGACCAGTTTGACCTTGATTCAAACTTGACAGATCTGGGTTGTTGACTGAGGTTTGTTCTATGTCTAGTGTTAGTTGGGTCGTGGATCTAAACATAGTAAGGAGAGAGAGTGTTGATGTGGTTCTATAGTTCTTTGGTTAATGTGAGTTTCTCACTATGCCATGTATGCCATTGTATATCCTTTTCCTGATAGGATATATGTACTATTAGGATACGGGCACACAATAAATCCTTGTTATGGATGTGCTAGGACACTTGGTGTCATCGTACGCTAGACTCGTAGGGTCTTGCCTCTTGCTTGTATGATATTGTTGGTTTGAGTAGTGTATGTCATTTAGTGTCATGGTATGATAGACTGGTACGATCCTTATAACACCCCGTTTTCTGTCTATATTAGAATTTAATATAAATAGTTTGCTTATAAAATTTGAAATAGAAGTACATTACTTTTTAGCCAAACCATTCATCACAAACATGTAGTAGACGTAGATAACGATTTGCGTAGATATAAAGAACATTTAAACATGTGTAACACCAATTTTCTGTTTAATTATTTAATAAAAGAATAATAGGTAAAAATGCAAATAAATAAATACGATTAACAATAATTAATAAAAGTAATGTAA